GACAGAGAATGCGACAAATGTGAAATGTGAAGTATTGCAGAAAAACGACAATCAGTGAAATACTAAAAGCAAGTACGGATTAGAATAACTTTTATATCCTCTTTGAGAGTGTGATTCCACCCTTATCTTTAAAAAAGTTAATCTAACTTGCACAATGCTAGTCACGTGTCAACTGTAGAACGACAGTGCGGTCCGGGACTGTCCCACATTCAATTACATTGATAACATCACGCAACGCCGCAATTACCTTGCTAATCCGTCAATCGAGAGCGAACATGCCTGAATAGGGGCCTAAGTACCTCGCTAGGGTGTCCACTTATATATGTCCACACATTGCAATATTTATATTTTTGGACAGTCGTTTTTTTTTTACGATTTATATTTGTATACTGTATATAAATATATATGAAGGATATATTTGAAGAATGTTTTGTCAAAAGTTAAACTTTTTAATGATGAGCGGAAAAATAAAGGAAAAGAATAACACCAGTCGTGACGACATAGCAACTGATTTTTATTCGCAAAACCTTCATTTGATTCCAACAACTTAAGCGAATGTAAAATTCATAACAAACCTTTGCATACTTTAGTAAGCTGATTATCGAAAAAATTGATGAGATTTATTGATGTCTAGAAAAAATCTAGATTAATACATTTCTTTCCAGTAGTTTGCAACCATTTTCTTTTTTGTTCTTTTGTTGACGGGGTGGAAAATCCTTTCGGATCTAAGTCTCCTTGGGGATACAGGAGCCAGGAGTATGTGGTGTTTTAACAATAAACCACCCCAACGGCCAGTCTTAGACGCCCTGCTCTGGAAAGAACCAGAGCCATGTGATTTCAGGTCCCCCCAGATCTAACTAGGCCCTATCTCAGGGAAAGCCACTAAACGTCTTTCCCTCTACGTCTAAACAAAAGATAACTGGATCTACAAGAAAGAACATGTTCGAAAGTTAAGTGATCCATACTTTCATTTCTTCGCCAATTTTAATAAGTTCTGAACTTAAAACGCGACAACAACAATCCTCAAAATAAACAGTGAATGTGAAACTCACTTCATGCGTCCCAATTCATCCCTTCGAAGTGGTATCCTGTTATTGATATTTGACAAATAAAGTAATATATCAGACCGCATTAGAGGGGAACTTGCGAGAGGATTGGTATAAAACATAATCTTGACCGATAAGATCGGATGCTGTTACATTTATTAAAGCTGGCACTGTGATCAATGTCAGTCGTATGAAACATATAAAAGTAATATGATAACAAGTTAAGGATGAGAGATACATAGTTCGTAAATTGTATAGAAACGATTCAAAGCGCTAATTTTAATTATGGGTTTATTTTGTGCTAATTCTTATGAATTATATAAAATGTTTCTTATGGATATAAGCCTTTCTTTTGCCTTTATGTTTTGTAAAGTATTTTAAATGGTGATTAAAATTTAGAGGATGAATTTTTACAACTAAGGTATTTTATTATTGCATTAAATTAAAATTATCCTGTCGATATAAGCCTGATACGTTAACATTCACAGATATGACTCATAAGTCTTTGTGAAATATCCATGTAACTGGTCAGGAGTAGATACTTATTATACGTTACCTCTAAGTTTACAAATTATAATGATAATTTTCACTTTCTTTAGTATTGATGTTTATTTATAAAAAAATACATTTAATATTGCGAAGTTAATGTGTAGATATGACACAATAACCTTTTAGCGATCTTTAAACTTGAATTATGTCTAACTACAGTTAGTGGCTTTCATTATATACACAATTTAGTATGTATAACAAGTTTTTACCTAACATTCTATGAAATCTCATTTTATTCGAGCCTCAAAGTGTGCATAAGGTAGCCATTATCCCACTCTTACAAATGAGATTCCACTCCACTTTTCAAGCCCTCAATAATCAATCTGCGCATCCGCCACATGACCACGAGCCTCCGCTTGAGAATCTGCAAATACTAAAAAACTTTTATGACGTAAATCCCCTATGATATATCGAGAACCTACACATGTACATCTCCAACTTGTTGACGGACTAAAGGGCCCTTCTTTACAGAAGCACTTCCATTATCCATATCGATTCTGTACATTAATAAAATCAAGTACTCGATACTAAGGATATTTTATTATATCGATAAAATGGTTATGCGAAGTTAGGGTGGAGGATAATGACGTCATACGATTATTCCTATATTTATGTACCGCTATAGATACTTGTTGACGTTTGGAAAGACAGTAGTAAAATAAAAGAAAGTGAATTCATTTTATCCTAGGTCTTGGTTGTTATAGTTCACTGTACCAGGTTTTTTTTTATAAGAAAGTTTACCAATCCTTATTTAACGAAGTACGAGTACGTAATATATTATTTCAAATAGAATATTTAAGTCATTAAAATTTACATTCAACCATTAATCTCACTTTGTAAAGCCTTAACTGTAAAGTTTAAGGGTCAAATGGAAGACAACTAGTGAAAAAAAATAGACATTTGTTATCTGTCAAATTTAAATTCGTAATTATGTTTACGGGAATTGATGCGCTCGCGATAGGTATTAAGTTCATACCTTTGCAATACCGTCCAGATTGTACTGGCATTGGTCACAGGCTGACTAAGAGTAAACATAAATATATACATATTATGGAACACGATAGTTTAAAATTAAGTAGATTTAACTTTAATTTAAGTAGGTTAAAATTAATTCCATCAGCAGATTAAATTTTTAAGGAAGTACTAATAAATTCTCAGTCAATATTTCTTAGAGCAAAGCAAATTTTTGTAACTTTATTAAATACATTGTGTAATCTATTTATAACGTTTGAAAATGTACTGTAGCTCCGGTAACAATCTATGGTTTAATTACATTACCATTTTCATACTAACGTCGCATAGAAAGGAACTCATTAGATATGTACACTCGGTTCCAAACATTACGGGTCAGTCACAAAAATTGAACTACCTCCAGAACTGTAAAAGTTAGATCAATGAAATAAAAAACAGAATAAAGACTTTTTAGTTGCGCTTCTAATAGCATATTATTTAAACTGGTTGATGAAAAAAACTTCATTAGAAAAACAAAATTAAAAAAATGACTATTTTTAAAAACAAAATTTTTGTTTCATTTCATTATAGATGCTTTCCATTTCTATTCTGTCACAAAAAAAATTATCGTGAACGTCTTCCACGTGCATAATTATTATTCTGTGAGGTGAAGCATGGCAGTCACGCTAGAGGAATGTACCAGAATCCTAACTTTTTTGGAACTTGGGCGGAGCCAGCGTGAAACAGCCAGAAACATTGCTGTATATTTGTCGACTGTTCAGCGGGTAGTCCAGCGGTACCAAGAGACCGGATCACACCTTAGAAGACCAGGAAATGGCAGACCAAGATGCACAACGGCCAAGGAAGACAGACAACTGGTGGCTACAATTCTCTGAAATCGTTTTCAAACTGCTGTTGGTCTAAAAACTCACTTTATTCGCTTTGGAGGTGGCAATTTAAGCGCTCAAACAGTAAGAAGACGTCTTGCTGAAGCAAATTTGAAACCATTGAGGCCCGCAAATGGCCCCAAACTGTAACGGAGACATCGAATTGCAAGACAGAGATACGTGCGCGAGCACCTAAACTGGACACTAGACGATTGGTCTAGGGTAATGTTCACGGACGAGTCTAAATTCATGCTTTATAAGCATGATGGTAGGCAGTTGGTGTACAGAAGACCAGATGAGCGCTTCCATCAAGCGTGTGTGGAGGAAAAAGTGGCGTACGGTGGAGGCTCCGTACAAGTTTGGGCTGGGATTTCTACTGAGGCCCGCACCGAGCTGGTACTCATTCAAAATGGAACTCTAAATGCAGAGAGGTACGTGGAAGAGATCCTTAATGAACATGTAGGTCCTTTCATGGCCAGGATGGACCGGCATGGCATATTAATGCATGATAATGCGCGCCCCCATACCGCCAGAATTGTACATGACTACCTTGAAGAGGTCGATATCGAACTCATGCAGTGGCCAGCGCGAAGCCCGGACTTAAACCCCATCGAGCACGCCTGGGACGAGCTTCAGAGATGCGTGAAAGGTCGAAACCCCCCACCAATCACGCTTCCCGAGCTCAAACAAGCACTGGTGGAGGAATGGGAAGGTATTCCTCAGCACCGGCTCCGAAATTTGGTGTACAGCATGCCTAATCGCCAGGAAGCTGTCAGAAGAGCTCGTGGAGGCAATACAAAGTATTAAATGAAGAAAGTGATGAAAAACAGCAAAAAACAATCATAAAAAAATGTAATCTTAAGAAAAATATGACTACTTTAGTTTTTTTTTTATTTAGAGATAAGTTAAGAGTTAGAGAGTTTAGATTTAAGTTTTATTTTACTTTTTATCTGTATAATTAAATTCTCAATTGAACAGTCTTCGTTTCATTAGGATGGCATACGTAGTTCGGGAGATATTCGGGTTTATGTGACTGACCCGTTATTTTTGGAACCGAGTTTATTATATTCTATTTAACTATAACCTATAGTTTTATAACAGTTTATTTAAAAAAATATGTTTTAGCAATTCCGTTCCACGGACACGCGGAAATATATTACGAATTATTCTTTATCCTCCAGTACTTTTTGATAATAACATTATGATATTCTTACATCTTTCTTACCCTTGTCATTATCACTCGTCAGTTCATTGCTTATTCCCTTCCTAGACATATCTTCGCGTATTCAGTTAGAAACATACCACTAAAAATTATCGAACTGTTAAGATAATTATTTCAAAATTAGGCAAAATGAACCCGGTCTAATCAAAAAGAGCAATTTTACATGAATGCACCGATAAATGAAAATTGGTTTTATATTTTAGGCGTAATTGCAACGATTCACACTATCACTACTACTATCCACGGCAGTCTTTACATAGTATACGTTTACGACTCAGATTACAGCTCATGAGTATTTTATCACCTACAGTAAAGGAACCCCTCTACTGCAGCATTTAATCTGATTTAAAGACTGTCTAGACTAAAAGCAATCATTAAATCAGGATGTCCGTATTCTGTTCCTTCTGTGTAACGATGTAACTTACGTGTAACGATGATAATGCGAAGACAGTGCCTTACCTGAAAACAAAAAAAAAAAAAAATTTACATTGCGATAAGTTAACTCTGAGGTATTTTAAATGTAGGATCGTATCGCTTATTTCACGATACGATCCTACTTTGTGAACAATTTAAATGAACGAGTATGGGAAGTTTTTTTGCGAACACTGTTAGGTATATTGTCTTAGACGTACGTTCTTCATAAGTCCCAAGTCACTGTACTACTGCCGGTTGTGTGTAATAATAGTAATAACATCACACATCTCACACACGGCTGTCTGATCCCAAATTAGGCAGAGACTGTACTATGGTAACCAGACTGCTGATAAATATACTTATATATTTTTAAATACATACATATTACAGATAACTGCTAATAAGGCATGTTACGGATGTACCTAATGTTTTTATAAGAACAATATACCTTGTAACAAACAATAAATAAATTTGATTGATTGATAAATTACACCTTTGTCCTTGGTTGGAATCGAACCTAGGACCTCCGGCTTAGCAGTCAGGGTCACTAATCACTAGACCAACAGGCCCGTCAATCAAATCAATTAAATTAATTTTCAAAGAAAAATTAAAAGGTAAGGCGAATAAGGTATTACTAAAAAAACATAATCTATCTTTACTTAAGACGAACTTATTCTGCCTTCCTGTCACCGTTGTCACGCTCAAACAATTTTAACAAAGTTATTACAGATATACGACATCTTAGAGTAGGACATAGGCAATGTTTAGGAGATGATGCAAGGTCAACAGGGATTAATAAGTCCAAGACTACAAGTACACAGCAAATATGCAGACTTTATGTAAAGAAGACCATCATCATCAGCCTATCGCAGTCCACTGCTGGACATAGGCCGTCTCCCACTGCACGCCACTTCTATTGGTTTTCGGCTTCTCGCATCTAGCTCCTGCCAGCCAAATAAGATACTTATGAACATTTACATGATATTATATTGCTGAAGTAAGTTTTAAACTCCGGTGCATTTTATGATCATTACTAGGGAAATAAGTTTTGTAGTATCCGCAGATAAAAAGGGGACTAATTTATGGCAAGAAGCATTATAAACCTGTCTAAAGTTTAAATATTTTAAGGTACTAATTTCAGTTTTGGCACAACCTCAGCTCGCTTTCTTTGTCTCCCTACATTACGATCAAAGTTTAGTAGTACCTTTCGATACTAATACTAATTTTGTATAAAGACCCGATTACGTGCCAAGTAACATTCAATAAATTTAGAAGTTCGATAATAAAGGCTGAAATTGTTGTAACTCAGAAATGTTGTACCATCGAAGGGTTATAAAATATTTCAAATTTTTAATTCGTCTAACAGTTTTAGTACTGCCCATTTTTTTTTGTCAAAAAGATAAAATATTTTTTGTTTTGTATTGTAAGATACGTACATTTCAATCAAATATGTATCCACCTATGATTTTTGTTTTCTTTTGCACTCTAACTTACTTTTCTGTACCTCTTGGTCGAGGTGATCACAATCTATAGTGGTATATCATATGGGTTGAACATTCACAGGTAAAAAATCTAAAGGCACGTAGAAAATGTACATGAATAATATATTAATGGTAAATAAAAATTGATCACGTAACGTCAAAAAATTTTATTCGATTACCCGATTAAGTTTTATCCATATTTACATAACACAAGATTTGAGATATTTTTAAAACTACACATTATTTAAAATGTTATCTACAGTCGGTAAATCTGCGATCGTCAGATAGGTGATTAATAGAGTCATTATCTTCAGCTTTTGCCCGTTTTCGGAAGAAAATATAGTCAATATTTTGATCAGTGCCCCGAGCACGAACAACTTGCGAAAAAGTATTCGTATCGTCTTCGACAAAATTTGTATGACATTTGTGCAGCGCCCCTATCGTGTAGTAGTAGTAACTAATTTTGGCAGCACGAACGTTTCGAATTTACTTTCGTATCGTCAACGTATCGTCAAGCATTCGATACGTTACACTTTATAAAGAAAATTGGCAGCACGAACGAAATTTTGACGTACGTTCGAAGGCTAGCTATCGAGCACCTGTCGAGCTTAGTCGAATGTTTATTCACCTAAGATTTGGCCGTGAGAAAAGTTTCGAAACAATCAATTTCTTTTAAAACTATTATTTTCAAGTATTAACGGTTAATTTTTTGTAGAGATAAATGCAAAGACCGCCTCTTTAGTCCTATGTATGTTCTTGTCGCAAGTTGAATTGAAAATAAGGGTATTCAACAACTAGATTCGAGGTTAGCAAATCTTGTTTTATCTATAAAGTGTAAACTAAATATTTGTCAGAAACATTTGAAGAAACTTCTACTATATTAATAAAATGTAGTATACTAAGTATGTACTTATATATATATTAATCTAATTAATTATTTTTTAGTGAAATAAGGCGAAGAGATAAACAAAGAAAGATAAAAGTGAAGAAAAATCTGTCTGTAATATAAAATAATAGGTTTTTTTCATGCTCACACGGTTTTTTGCAATAGATATCTTGCCTAAAAACCAGTCTAAATATTTTTTGTCTGTCTGTTTGTTCGGGTAATGACAACGAATTTCAAAATATGTATGTATAAATATGTGTGTATGTAAAAATGGTTATTTCGTTGCGTTGTATGCCGTGGAAGTGGGTGCGAGGGGTATACCAGTTAAATCCCTCTATACCCTATGTAAAGACCTTGGATTGCTTCAGTAAGCTTTTTCCTTGAACAAATTTCCAAAGCGGCATTGCTGGGCTCGTACCAAATTTGGTTAGATAGAGGGGGTTCCACAGCAGACAGGGATGAAAGGCATATAGTAAAAAATGAGCTAGTATGAATATTTTTTATTTACCATAATTTTAAAATGAATCATACAGAGTTGGTTTTATACATTACATACATACATGTTATTTACAGAGAACATTATTTACTTTGAAAAAAAAAATATGTCTGGTCAATAATTTTAATTTTATTTCACACGATTACGATTCAATTAACGGTTAAAATATCATTGCTTTTATGAGTTTTTTTTTCTGGAGGCTTCCACTCCTCTGCCACTGCGGTGACTGGAGAAGACTGAGAATGAACCTCAGATGCTGGTAAAGGAGGAGCCACAGTTGGTTGGCTGCTTGAGCCCCCAGTATTCCAATCTACAACAAAATATTACAACATTTATTACTTATATAATAACGAATATAATATTTTCAGACATCTGACACACAACACCATATACATAGTTTCAAACTAAGTAGAACTTGTACTACGAAACCTAGATTGACTGATATGAGACATTAGTTGTCCCTGGTATGTTTATCTGTAGGATTGCTGTGGTGGTGTTTTTAATTTCTTTTCATTTCATTTTTCATTTATAAAGTGACAGATGTTATCCATATTCATATAAATATGAAATTTATCATATTCTCAAACATCACATCGTTATTTTACATTACAGTACATTGAGTATTGCAAATAGTAAATTGAATAAACTCACCTTTCAAGAAATTACACCATAGCCACGTATTGTAAATGGCTTGTTGGCACTGACTTTTTTGATGTTGGGATTTTTGGCGCAGAAGATGATGAAACACGTCTTCGTCTGTGCTGTTCAACAGTTCGATTTATTGTGGCACGACTTACTGTGGTTTATTTTAAAGAAATCTTTATCAGTTTCTTTTCACATAAGACAACGGTCTAGTGGTATAGGACTTATTTATTGGAAACTTAGATTTTTGTCACAATCGACAGCCAACACGACGTAATAATACAAATAATATTTTCTATAAAATGCTTCTTAAAGTTTCAAGGTTTACAAATAATCTTATACTTGGAGATGAATTTACAATAAAAATAATAAACAATTTATAGACATAGCGTCGTATCTATGTCAGTAAATTGTCAAGTGGAGACGTGTTATTCAGAAACCGACAAAAATGTCATAATAATTATTTTAATTCTCCAAAATATACTACATACATTTTAAAATCTCCCATACCTCATTTAAGATTTATAATGTGTTTTTATAAGTATATTTTGTTTTAATTGTCAATAAATAGGTAGTTTAACCGAAAGTAATAAAAATATCACTATTTCATTATGTTTTCGAACGCATAGTTCATTCAATAAGATGTTGAATTCGTTCTTAAGTGCACATCCTTATTTACGTTAGGATGACGTCACTAACGTAATCGTATCGAGCTCTCGATACCTTAACGTTAGTGCTTCGTGCTACCGCCTATCGTAAAACTCCGTAAACGTATCGAAGACTCGATACGTTTACGATACGCATTCGACATTTTTTCGTGCTCGGGGCACAGATCTTTTGCCTAAAGCTTCATTCTTAACTTAGAATAGAACATTCTTAACAGTGCCCCGAGCACGAAAAAATGTCGAATGCGTATCGTAAACGTATCGAGTCTTCGATACGTTTACGGAGTTTTACGATAGGCGGTAGCACGAAGCACTAACGTTAAGGTATCGAGAGCTCGATACGATTACGTTAGTGACGTCATCCTAACGTAAATAAGGATGTGCACTTAAGAACGAATTAACATCTTATTGAATGAACTATGCGTTCGAAAACATAATGAAAAAGTGATTTTTTTATTACTTTCGGTTAAACTTCCTATTTATTGACAATTAAAACAAAATTTACTTATATAAACACATAATAAATCTTAAATTAGGTATGGGAGATTTTAAAATGTAGTATATTTTGGAGAATTAAAATAATTATTATGTCATTTTTTTCGGTTTCTGAATAACACGTCTCCACTTGACAATTTATTGACATAGATACGACGCTATGTCTATAAATTGTTTATTATTTTTATTGTAAATTCATCTCCAAGTTTAAGATTATTTGTAAACTTTAAGAAGCATTTTATAGAAAATATTATTTGTATTATTACGTCGTGTTGGCTGTCGATTGTGACAAAAATCTAAGCTTCCAATAATAGCTAGTCGTATACCACTAGACCGTTGTCGTATGTGAAAAGAAACTGATAAAGATTTCTTTAAAATAAACCACAGTAAGTCGTGCCACAATAAATCGAACTGTTGAACAGCACAGACGAAGACGTGTTTCATCATCCTCTGCGCCAAAAATCCCAACATCAAAAAAGTCAGTGCCAACAAGCCATTTACAATACGTGGCTATGGTGTAATTTCTTGAAAGGTGAGTTTATTTAATTTACTATTTGCAATACTCAAGGTACTGTAATGTAAAATAACGATGTGATGTTTGAGAATATGATAAATTTCATATTTATAATTCAATTTCTCGTTGTTATGAGACTTACACTGCTACTTGACATTAAAATAAAGTTTCAATTGTAAATATAGATAACATCTGTCACTTTATAAATGAAAAATGAAATGAAAAGAAATTAAAAACACCACCACAGCAATCCTACAGATAAACATACCAGGGACAACTAATGTCTCATATCAGTCAATCTAGGTTTCATAGTACAAGTTCTACTTAGTTTGAAACTATGTATATGGTGTTGTGTGTCAGATGGCTGAAAATATTTTAATCGTTATTATATAAGTAATAAATGTTGTAATATTTTGTTGTAGATTGGAATACTGGGGGCTCAAGCAGCCAACCAACTGTGGCTCCTCCTTTACCAGCATCTGAGGTTCATTCTCAGTCTTCTCCAGTCACCGCAGTGGCAGAGGAGTGGAAGCCTCCAGAAAAAAAAAACTCATAAAAGAAATGATATTTTAACCGTTAATTGGATCGTAATCGTGTGAAATAAAATTAAAATTATTAACCAGACATATATTTTTTTTCAAAGTAAATAATGTTCTCTGTAAATAACATGTATGTATGTAATGTATAAAAACCAACTCTGTATAATTCATTTTAAAATTATGGTAAATAAAAAATATTCATACTAGCTCATTTTTTACTATATGCCTTTCATCCCTGTCTGCTGTGGAACTCCCTCTATCTAACCAAATTTGGTACGAGCCCAGCAATGCCGCTTTGGAAATTTGTTCAAGCAAAAAGCTTACTGAAGCAATCCAAGGTCTTTAAACAGGTTATAGAGGGATTTAACTGGTATACCCCTCGCACCCACTTCCACGGCATACAACGCAACGAAATAACCATTTTTAGTTATTTCGTTTGTTTAGTCAAAGTACTTCTTAGCTTCAAGCGATATACATATTTTGAAATTCGTTGTCATTACCCGAACAAACAGACAGACAAAAAATATTTAGACTGGTTTTTAGGCAAGATGTCTATTGCAAAAAACCGTGTGAGCATGAAAAAAACCTATTATTTTATATTACAAACAGACAGATTTTTCTTCACTTTTATCTTTCTTTGTTTATCTCTTCGCCTTATTTCACTAAAAAATAATTAATTAGATTAATATATATAAGTACATACTAGTATACTACATTATATTAATATAGTAGAAGTTTCTTCAAATGTTTCTGACAAATTTTTAGTTTACACTTTATAGTTAAAACAAGATTTGCTAACCTCGAATCTAGTTGTTGAATACTCTTATTTTCAATTCAACTTGCGACAAGAACATACATAGGACTAAAGAGGCGGTCTTTGCATTTTATCTCTACAAAAAATTAACCGTTAATACTTGAAAATAATAGTTTTAAAAGAAATTGATTGTTTCGAAACATTTCTCACGGCCAAATCTTAGGTGAATAAACATTCGACTAAGCTCGACAGGTGCTCGATAGCTAGCCTTCGAACGTACGTCAAAATTTCGTTCGTGCTGCCAATTTTCTTTATAAAGTGTAACGTATCGAATGCTTGACGATACGTTGACGATACGAAAGTAAATTCGAAACGTTCGTGCTGCCAAAATTAGTTACTTTTACGCACGATAGGGGCGCTGCACAAATGTCATACAAATTTTGTCGAAGACGATACGAATACTTTTTCGCAAGTTGTTCGTGCTCGGGGCACAGAACTTAGAGAAGAGTGCCCATGTTTGTGTTTTGTTATTGCTTCTCATATATCTACGTAATCTATTTATTATCTTTATAATAATTTGTGGGTTGTTGTATGTGTGATGACGATGTGTAATATTTTATTACATATCATATATACAAGGACTATGTTTGATTTATCATATATGTTTTAAATATTAAAAGAGGCAACCCCAAATAAAATTGTGTCAATGCAGAAACATACAGATAATGATTTGCAAGAAATAAGTTGTTTTAAATTTTTCAACGTTGTGTTTATCAAAAATCAAACATTCGAAAGTACTGCTAAGTATTTTTTAAAGATTTGTTCTCTGCGTGAAGAGTCAAGGAGTGAGGTACAAGTTTAGAGAAAGTTCATCTCTAATGTACAAGTTAGTTGGAGTTTCTGGGTGTGTCAGAAGTTGCCGGCGACTTCGTGATGTGTGCAACGACCATAGACATCCCATCTTAGAACTTATATACTTTTGTGGCAACAGTAATTGAAAAGTTTTGCTCCTGTTTGTCGATTAGATGCTTCAAGGCTAGTTACACTTACCAAGTAATTGATTGAAGGGTTATCTGTTACGAATGGAGGTGGTAGCGGTTTCAATTTACCTTTCGCTTGATTAAAGAAAGTATTGATTGTCTCAGTACATACGTTAACATCGGGTCAAAGTTCTAGTTGCCTCAGTTGTGTTGCAGTAGGGATCTTTCCAATATTTTTAAGTACTTTTCATTATTTGTACAAAAAGTTTATATCTTTACTGACTAATTTTTTTTTTTTAATAATGTGGTATTTATCGTAAGTACATACAAAAGTCATCCTCTTTTTCAATTCCAACAACTTACTCGCTTCAAAGTTACTCCATTTAATAATCGTAGGTAGCAACACATTCTCAAAGTTCTGATGTTCTCTACTATCATCACTGCAACTCGAAGTGTCTTTATAGTTTTTTCATATGAATACCTTATAGAGTTCTTTAAGAAAATAATGAACTGGATGCAATTACCCTAACCCTAAAATTTTAAGCAACCATAAACTACGCTAAGTATGGTAGTAAGATGGCAACATCAGACGTGTCGTATGGTTATTGCACACGAATCGACGTGCTATAAGAAATAAAAAACATTCGGATATCAGTGACTTTTGGCCAACACAATCCTAGCTGGTTATAAGACAAACCTAAATTTATTTCATTTCGAAAAAGCATTATTGTTTCCTCCCCAAGGTTTCATTTTCTTGTAAACAAACATTTCATTTCAATCAAATTAAAAAAAAAAAGGAAATCGATACGCACACAATACAAGCCGGCAAAAAAGGTCTAGGGCTACCTACGCATCGTAATTTCCGCCGGCAATGGACCGTGAACACTGGTGAAATTCCGAAATTCTACCAATCGGCGTTATTAAGCGGTCCGCAGGCACATGTGCCGGGGTATGGAGTTGTCTGTAACGATCGATACTCTGATGGACTGCCCAACTTCTATTTTAGCCAGCGTGACTATAGTGCCGCTCGACCCGTTCCCACTTATATTTTCTCGTGATGGATCACTGCCAAATAATTGGATCTGAGTCTGAACTTGAACTTACTTGTAAGTTATTTTTTGACAATTGTCAAGTCCAGTGTTCAAGAAAAAGAAACTAATATTAAAAGAGATCTGAATATTATCCGGTTATAAATGATATTGGTAACTTATAACAACAATACTGTTTACAAATTCAATAAAATTAATGTGATTCAAAAACTTTGCGAATGAAAATACGGATTGAGTTATGAAAATATTGAAAACTCGCTTTTCGAAATAAGAGCAATTTATTTATTTTATGTTCTTTGGAGATTAAAAGCAGTTTCAAATCGTAAACTTTTCATACAAATTCATTTCTATAACACCTTACCCTCAATACCGCAGTGATATGAAAGATCCACCCTCACAGTGTTTTATCAGCCCGAAAACGAAACGATCGAATCTGTTCGCTCTGTTTAAAAATGTAAAGCGGGTTCACATCACTGCAGCCTGAAAGGCAGGAAATGCATTTGCAAATTAGATTTTTAACCCCTCGCCGCCGGCATTATCGTGTCTTCAACTCAGTTGTCTTTTAACCCTCGGTTATACGCAGGGATTTCGGATGTTCTTGTAAAATTTATATGAAATAAAATTGAATTAATATATATTTATTTATATGTTAAATCACCAATATATATTTGTAAAATATTGCATATAGGACGGTGAATATAACAAAATCAGTAAATAGTATTAATTACATTGTTATTAAGTAATTTTAGTTCCTTTGTTTCCAAACTTTATATTAAATCAGAGTAATCGGTGTACATACATTAAAAAAAAATACCAATCGAATTGAGAACCTCCTCCTTTTTGAAGTCGGTTAATAAAGCGTAAACGAGTATTTTTCACGTACTTCGAAAATTAATATTAAAACACGTTGAAATATACTTACTCATTGCCATGGTAACGGTTTTAGGCATAGAAGCTAAACATGAAAAGTTAAAATAATTGGCGCTTTTCAAAAACTAAAACTTTTTTAGAATGGTTAAAACAAAATATCAAAAACCTCTGAATAAATATTTACCTCAAAAATAAAAACGCGGCTATAGAGTTGTATTTTGAAAGGACTTCTTCTATAGTTGCAAAATAAATGGTTGATATTTGAAAAAACATAGCACAGGAATACCGCTTAAAATGGGCAAACTGGTGGTTTCTCGTTCACACTCGATTTGGCAAGGAAATTGCTGCGTCTCGTTGAAGCCGAGTTTACATGCACAAGCAGACTGCAAAATCTCGTTTACTACAAACAATTGAAATAAAAAAGTTAATTTGTTGTAACGATTTTCGTACAAACTTCGTGAGAGATTTTAGGGATAAAATCCTGGAAAGAAGCCGATAAAAAAAGCTTTAAAATACTTAGTAGCTATGTTAGAAACATCCTGGAAAGAGTCTTTGACATAGCTCTATTTTCTGTTGAAACAATTTTTTTCAATAATGTATGATTGAGTAAACAAAAATCTTAACAGTAACTCATATTTATAATTGAAATACGGATAAAGAGCTTAATACGGTTTATAATAAAAAACTAAAAAAAAAAAACAAATAGGAAGCAACTTAAGGAAAAAAAAGAATATAATTTGGAAATGGTGAATAGATAGAAAACGAAAAGTAATAACATTTCAAATACAGATGTACTTCATGCGTTCAATCTAATTTTGTATTTATGAGAAACCAAACCAGATTTGATTTTAAATTGTTCAGAAGAAAATCGTCTATTGTCTCTGTAAGCGGAGCACGTATCCCGACCACAATCTTACTAATAGAAGTACTGATTGCAAGATAAAAAAAGTGTCGTTTACTTCTCGGATTGTATGTAAATATGTAGATGATACAAACATAGAATGAATATTTATTTATAAGAAAATATTTATATTTGGATATCGTAGCTTTTATCTTATATAGTTAAAGTGCATAATGAAATAAAAGTTATCGATTATGTTATACTTTGTTATTATTGCCTACAAATTTGAGAAAAAATAGGTCTTAAAATTCTGACTTTTTTATTAATACCTTTTTATAATCTTCATTTGTAAGTAACTAACTAATTAATCAGGTAACTATGTAGTGTAATCTTGAAAGTATATTTTGACCTACGTATAATGATTTTGTCGCAATCAACGATAAGAATACGGAGTGTCACTACTCCTGTCCATTCCGTGGGTGTCGTAGAGCCGACTGAGGGAGCAAACAACGCAGGCAACTAGCACAGCAAAACTGGACACAATCCCTATACCAACATGTCTGGCCAGCGTGGTATAGTAGGCCAAAACCTACTTTCTAAGGTGAGGCCTATATCTAGCAGTGGAAAGGCTGTTGATGAAACTTATACGTTTGTATGTGTACGCAGTTTGGATGACAATAAATAACTAGATAATCTAGTGCCGCAGTCTGGAGTCGAATTATGAAACCCTTTTATTACTTTTACTAATCTATACCTCTTATTAGACACAATTCCGGTTCATAATATAGTAATTAAGTACATTAGAGATAAACTACTTACTTATTTTCATTAAAATTAAAAGAAATATAATATTGTACAGTTCCGGATGTGAATACGTTTGCTTATCTCCTCGGGGATGTATAAGCATAAATTCATACATAGAAAATGATAATAATACTTACAATTGTTTAATTTTAAGTAAACCATAAACTTGCAAAGAAAAAAACAGTTAAACACTCAGTGTCCAGCAGTCGCTGCGTGTTGACAATTTTAAACAATTTGCTAGACATGTTTATCAATCACGCAACATAATTTTATATGAATTTTCATATTTCTAAGCGGCATCTCAAAGTGAGAACCGTGAAATGGGTGGTGGTGGTAATTGGTCATATTTACCTTAAGCGCCATGGGCAGAGTGGAAAAGTTGGCCCATTTAACGAAAAAAATTATATAGATACCTCAGTAATTTTTAATTTTAAAGTAGTAAAAGTTTAATTGGGTAAGTGGGCGGGAAAGTGGGGTAAAGATGCTCGTTTTGACACTAATTAAGATGGCACATCAAAGTACTTTAAATTTTACAATAAAACCACTCCAACTTTGGATCATTTATTATTTACAGAAACGATACACATGTTTTCCGTTTAAGACAATTAGCACGTATTCTAAGGTTTCAACAAATTATATCGTGCTTTTACCTTCACTAACTTCGAATTCACAGTGATGATTAAACATTTTTTTTAATCTATATCAATATGTGTCATGTGTGTGATTTGTTAAAATAAATCGAATAAGTCTGAAACCTGTATACTACTACGAGTATACTAGTAGAGCCATTTTATCATCCCATACATCAATTTTTATTTATATAAATGCCATTTTTTTTCTAAATATCTCAGAAAAGGATTACATTACAGATCTTTGGTAAAAAGCAAAAAGTGTAATGTAGAAAAAGTGTTATACCTCTTAAACAAGAGTATAAAGATCACTAAATTCATATTTCAGCCTCCACAATGTATATTTTGCGTGATCATCTTGTAACCTCGTAAGCCTCAAATACATCAAACGTATATTACAACCGTTTATCGATCTCAACTAAATGAAGGATCCATGTTTAAGATGAGCCTTGGGGTTTAAAAGAGCTAAAAAGGGGACCGGGTGGGGCTGGTCACACAGTGACAAAGTGTCTAAGGGCCGGATTGGAGAAGGGAAATCGGTAATATGTAAGTGCAACCTTAACTGCAGGCAATCTAGTAGAATGGACCCAGCACTGATTTATATATAGATAATGGCCTAGAATCTGTTCCATTGTTCATGCTTGTTATATTTCTAACTTATAGGTGGGCGGTGGCTATTGGTAACGTCATTTGCAGCTAGATTGGGCGAACATTAAATGGAGGAAAAGGAGTTATTTGTCATCTCTGTTTACCGATTGTTTAGTTGTTTTTTTTTTCAAATAATTTAGATGTTTCGATTAAAGTAAACGTGTGAGACAACATTATTTTATTTTTTATTGCACTGAATTATCTTTATAGTCATATTTCAAACTGTTCTAACGGACAATCACGGACTTGACTTGCGGGGGTTCAAAAATTTCTTTGTGACACGCATTTCTCAAAAAATAGGTAAAGTATACGCTACTCATTTTCCAGTAAAGGCCACATTTTGCAAAAATAAAATATGCCTTACACATACATCCAAGTGGAAAGATGATTACTATATTTTCTAAGTCTTAAAAAGAAAGACAGACTCCTTGTGTTCCATTTTTTTCTTAATCGTGTACGTATCTCTATAAATCAACAATTCTCAATTGTTGCCACATATTCTCCTTTTTTCCTGTGCATATTCCCCTAATTGTTAGCAACGTCTACTATTTTGTACAATCCTGATAATTATAATTATTGTTTCCCAAGGCCATTTCCGTGTACATCAAATCATTGCCAATTAAAAACCTAGATACGTAATTACTAAGCGGAAGACACATAACTTGCAACATTGGTTGCACACATAGTTTGCACTTCACAACTATACCTTCATTGTAATTTATAAATGCCTTACACATCGTCAACACAAATGATCAACTTTTCAAAAGTTATTTAATACTATAATTGCCGCAATAAATGCATAATGAAACCATAAATATGTATCTATCATATCAGCGACCACGATATTGTGGTTATAATATTGAAATATCGGTTCACATACGCTATCGGACAAAAACAATTTGTCGAGTCCGGTGCAGAAATGTCCATAATTAAACCAACCTACAGCTAGCTATTTCAGCGTTCGATCGACATAACCATATATCTTGCTTTCATTTTCTTTTTAATCCATCCGGCTATGAATCCATTCCCTTCCCTGTATAAATTACTAGCGCCGTCCCGATAGAGACTTCAACGATATCGGTGAAAATCAACCACGATAAATCCAGCATCTATAAGTTATGAAAAAAAAGGATAGGAGAACAAGAGGGGAAACAGCGGTATCGATAGAAAAAATGAATGGTGCTACCCGTCTTCGACGTGATATGTTGAGTTGGGATTAAGCAACGAACATCAATAAGTAGCTTTCAAAATTCAGCGCACACCGTTACACGAGAGGTACGGGAAAAAATTGAAAGGAGACTCAAATATGTCGTCTGAATATTAAAAAGCAAAATACTGAATAATGCAGCGGATGAACTGCGAATGATATAAGAGTGTAAGACGATTGCTGGAGCTATTTGCAAGCCATTAGTGCTGATAAAGCGTAACGGAATTTCGCACAGACGACTTTTTACGAGGACATTGACGGCCTTTTTTGGTTCAGACATCATTATATGTTTTTTTTGTGTCCGCCGTATATGGAATTTCTTTTGTATAGTCATCTCCGAGTTCGTTTCTGTCAAAATGGAGTGTTTTTTTTTTGGCCCACGGAAACTTATTATTTTTTATGTTTGAAGATTCGTCACGTTTCGTTTTCTGTGATAATGATTGTAACTTGACACTGTAATTTATCTTGCGAGATATTTTTCCTCCTCTCATTTTTTGTATAAAAATGTTGGCAGGTTTATGAAATTATTAAGTCAAGAAATACTAAAATGGCCACTAAGAGTATCTTTTACAAAATGTTTCCGTAGCCCAAACGGAACTATGCGTACAAAAGTACAAATTATTACAGTCACTTTCGTAAATGTAAATATCAATAGTTAGCAACACTAGGTGTGTTGTAGTTTTTATTATATTGTAGTTTGTATATTCAATAAAAAATGTTAGCTTGTTTTTTTTTAGGAGCCTCTAAGCGTACACGTATGCCAACAAATTTTAAAGATAGAAAGTTATTTCCGGGTAACCAAAATTTAGTTGTAGTTTAGTAAATCTTTGTAAAAGTTCAAAGCTATTTATTCGCATATTCGTAGGAAAGGCAGTAGTAAGTAAAATACATGAGACGGTCATTACCAGGGATAATCCGGGAGATAAGTGTGAC